TTTTAGGACAGCTTTTAAAATCTTTATTTAAAAAGTATTTTTTTAAGGGTTTGTAAATTTTAAAATTTTATCGATACAGGTATTAATGATAACTACCTAATAGGTACATATCGCAACAACTCACACCATTCCAAGTCAGACCACTCCAAACTCTTTTAATTCATTAACTCTTTTAGTTGATGAACTAAATTCACTAAAACATTTCATCACAATTATTTCGACATCCACAGATAGTACTTTCATTGCTTTTTGCAAGAATTATGTAGCATATGGCATTTACAGCCAATTGGTATTAATTCATTATTGTGCTGCCTAAATTCGGTAAATACACGGTTTTTGCCAAAATTTACATAAGCATTATCAGAGCAGATAGCTGACATGCAATTCATTGTTAACCCTGAATCAGCTATATTTACATTATGTGGTTAGCTAGATCGTTAGATTTTTCACTATCCGAGGAAAAATTTTTTAACAATTTTATTAAATATTCTTATTCTTGTTGAAATAGTGAAAGTTCAAGGGAAGTGTTTTAATATTTCCCTTATTAGATGCATCTGTTAGAATTGCATATGGATGCCCATCTTTCAAATCGTCTAGAATTGACCTCTAGGATTCAGGTACTAACACACTTGTGATAGTCTTGCTAATTTGTGTTCTAACACAACTAAGGTTTGCCCTTATATTGGAGACATTAAATACGAGAAAAAGATTCGACCAACATTGTGATGCTATAGCTCTGTGATTGTTGAACTACATTATAGGTTTATACGATTTCCGCAGCTGTAGTTGCATCTGTATTATTTATTATTTTGGAGAATATTTTTGCATTGCAATCGATGTCGATATACGATATACTCCCTTGTATTGACTTGTATAAATAAAATGATGTTGATTTATTATTGGATAAAAATAAAACAGGATAAAAAGAAATTTATAAACTAGACATGTTTTCGAATAAATATTTAAAATTTATTTTAAAAATATAAAAATAATCAATTACTGTATCTCAAAATTATTATTTATATATTATAAACATTAAAATATTATTTAAAAAAAATTGCGGTATATTTTTGCGGGAGATTTCCAATTGCGGTAGTTTTACGGGAGAGAGATGTCTGCGTGCAAACTAAAAAACTGCGGGAGTCTCCCGCTGATGGGGGGGGGGGAGATGGCAACACTGTTTTTAACAACTCTACCATCATCTTTATTATTGAATGATCTTCTTTGGTCTAAAATATCATAATTGTCATTGTTGCCAATATTTAGAGTAGTCATCTCAAAATCATTGCTACTTTTTCTTCAGTTTTTTTAAAAAATATTTTATATATAGGCTTTTAAGTTGCCTAATAAAGTGTAAATAGTGATTTTGAACTCGGCTAATTAAAATATTAAATTTGTTAATTATCAATTAATGATGTTGTAATTGTGGTAACATGCAAATTTACTAGATTAAGAAAAACGCCAGACAGGCAAATTACTTTTAAATAAAATTACGAAGCCGAAAGATATTCAAATCTACTCAAGAAAAAAAGAATTAAATCTCGGTACAAATTGAGACTATGCAAATGTTGATTAAAGAAAAAGGATATATAATGGAGAAATTATGATGCGAAAAGGAAGATGATTAAATTATTATTTTTAATTTAAATTTACTTTTTATTATATATATTTTATTTTTCTTATATTAATTTTAATTTTTTCTTTTATTTTGATTATGTTTTTACTTTGTATTTAATTATATTTATTATTATTTAATAAAGGATTCAACTATAATTTTAGTATATATTTTATTCTATATTTAGGTTTTGATTTCCAATGTCAAATCGCGCTTTCTTGACAGTGGTGTTGGAGAGAGGAGGCGACAGGGCAATTAGAACTTTTCAGTCTAATGCAAATCATTATATACTGTGGGACAAGTGTCAAACTGTATTATAATACAAAAAAAAAATTCCAGAAGAACGTAAGAAAAATATGTAAATAAAAGTGAAAAAGAAAAATTATTGATAAGATTATGTTTATGTAGAATATAAAATCTAAAATTAAAAACAAAGAATTATAAAGGTAGCATTCATAGTAGATAATATATAAAGAAGTTTGTGTTTAGTTATTTAAAGGTGATAATTAGGAATTTTATATTTAGGAGTTACTGGTAAACTAAAACCATTGGAATTTTGAAATTAATAGAGAATATGATGTTTTAGATTTTAGAATTATTATTAATTGATCACTAGAAATAACTATGACAAAGAAAAAGAAACATAAATTGCGAAAGTTAATATTAAACTAATAGTTTGCTAAGATATAATAATTTAAAAATTAGGCGAATAAGATTAGAATATAAATTTTTTGATAGGAAATAGTTGATGTTGTAATTAAATTCTTATTGAAGATTTACGTTTAACTTTTATTTTAAGGGCTGCGAGAGATAAAACAGCCTCAAGAATTAATGTGAATGTAGTATATTAGGTTGTAGATTAACCAAAAATCTTCATAAAGAGAAACGGCTTTCGTCATTAGAAAATTTATGCCGCAATCGAGCTCAATTAGAGATCGGATTTTTATTTTTTTGAATCATAAATAAGATTTGAGATCAATTATGCAACATAATTCTAATACTAGCAGAAAGAAAAATCTGCTTTAGAAATATATATCCTTGTTTTTCAACAACATGTGTTGAAAATTTTAATGATTAGATTTCATTTATTGTTCAAAAACTTGGGTGTGAAAACCATGATGATAGAGTTCAGTGGTTGTTCAACAAACATATATATGAAAAATATAATGATTAGACTTCATTAGTTTTTCAACAACGTGTGTGCGAAAATAGATTATATATTTCAGCAGTTTTTTATTAAAGGATATAGACAATATAGAGAAGAAAATAAATAAAAGACTTGAGCGCCAAATAAAGTAGGAAGAAATAAAGTTGCAATTTTTTTTTTTTAAAAAAAGAAAATATATATTTATATTTTGGAAAAATATTTAGAATTTTTTTTAAGATTCAAGACTATCAAGAGAAATTTAGATTTAAAGGACTACTACCGCAAATGACTCAATGAAGATATGGGTCTGAACTTCATTGAGGGTAAAGGGGGTTGTAGAATTTAATATAAATTAATAATTATTTAGCATATTTTGACTATATTATTATTTTAAGATCTAATTTAGAGGAAAAAGTGAGCAAATATTTCGAAGTTAAGAAATTAATTATGTAAGGAAGAATTAGATTAGAGGTGATAACCATAAGAAGGAGTGAACAGATGATATATTCTAGGTAGTTCAAATTTAAGAATAAATGTGTAAGAAAAAGGAATAAATTATTTCAGAAGTTATAAAGGGTTAAATAGATTATTTTAGGTCGAAGTAGATTAGATGCGATCTGAAACGGTGAGACCAATATCAAGTGAGAATAAAGACAAAGTCGATATCTAGGAACTGTCGTAAGATCTATACGGTTACAAGAATTAGATGCCTAGAACTTCAAAGACAAGGTACTAGATAGAACAAAGGGCCAAGACGTTCGAGCTGCAATCGTTAATCACTGACCAATATAGCCAAGTGTCGACGGAAACTTTAGTCTAAGATACGAAAGTTGATGATCATAGAGACAGGAATTCGTGGAAACAATCATTACTCGCAGACAAATTATCGTCAGTCGTTTACCGTCATTAGTTACCAGAAACCGTTAGAAACAAGCAAAGACTAGGATAGAGATCAAGAGATAATCGTTTACAAGGTGTTGTCAAGAAACAGAAGGAATCAAGAATTTCAGATTGTAATCGGATACAAACAGTCCTTATAAGTGAAGAATATTAGACAATAGACCGCCGTCGTTAGAAACTAGAAGACATTAAAGATTAAGACGAATAGATTCGGTGAAGAAACAAGATCAGTAAAGTCAAAAGCGGAAGAAAGGAGATCACTCGCAGAATGGTGGGACTAATCTAAGTGGAAGGGTGTTGTAATTGTGGTAACATGCAAATTTACTAGATTAAGAAAAACGCCAGACAGGCAAATTACTTTTAAATAAAATTACGAAGCCGAAAGATATTCAAATCTACTCAAGAAAAAAGAATTAAATCTCGATACAAATTCAGACTATGCAAATGTTGATTAAAGAAAAAGGATATATAATGGAGAAATTATGAGCGAAAAGGAAGATGATTAAATTATTATTTTTAACTTAAATTACTTTTTATAATATTAATTTTATTTTTCTTATATTAATTTTAATTTTTTCTTTTATTTTGATTATGTTTTTCACTTTGTATTTAATTATATTTATTATTATTTAATAAAGGATTCAACTATAATTTTAGTATATATTTTATTTTATATTTAGGTTTTAATTTCCAATGTCAAATCTCGCTTTCTTGACAATGATTATATTTATTTAATTAGGATTTTAAAATAATTTAAATAATAAATATCAATTAAACTTTAACTTTTAATGCTGAATTGTTATTTAAACATTTTGCATGGTATTGATATTCCATTTTTAACACAGAATTTGATTACAAGGTGACATAGTAAAAATATATTTTATATGTTTTAATCTAATCTAATAATAAAAATAAAAATTTAGATAGTCTTGTTAATTTAAAAATATATCTATATTATAAAAGAAATCGTTGAGGGGCAATTAAAAAATTTTTTTTTAGTTCAAGGGGAAATTAAGGAACCATTAAAAAATAAATTTTTTGCTTCAGAGGGGTATTCAAATTTTTTAGGAGGCTTGAGCCCCTGCGCCACCCCCCACCCCCCCTAGTGACGCTACTGTTATCATTATTATCATATTTGTAGCCCATTATTATCAGAAATTTGAAATTAGATTCTATATGATAATTTTTAATATGTTTTTAAAGTTATCTGTAATTTTCAAGTTTTTGATGAGTATGAGAGAATGAAGCTTAGCTCTGCTGTTTTTAACAGCATAAAGGACATAAGCTTAGAGGAATGAAAATAAACATGTCAGTATGAAGGACATCTCGTCAGGTAACTTTTTTAGGAAATTTTCAGTTTATATACCAATTTATAATGTCATTTATTAAAAATCAAATTATTAAAAGATTAGAAAAGTAACATAAATAATGCAATTTTTAAATGAAAATATATAATAGGTTTATTAAAAACTTATCTTCGGATATGCTAAGCATTAGTTTGGTTAAGGGAGAGGCTATGCTAACAGATGTGAAAATAGATGAAAAAGCATTAATGGATATATTAAAACTACCTCATTTTATAGTATTGAACAGTGCAATATGTAATTCAGTATTTATTAAGGTTGGATCATGCATATATAATAAATAAAATTTTTTTGATATAGATACCTTGGACAAAATTAAAAAGTGACCCTATTTATTTGGTAAATACAATATAATATGATGATTTTTACCAATGACTTATAGGCATTTGATTGTGTTGAAGTAAAAATAAATCTTGAACAAAATATTGATTCTTCAAAAAATTTATTAGATTCCATTATTGAATCAGCTAAGTAATTTATTTGAAATTAGTTATAAATGCACATGGCTGATTTGTAAACCTGGAAATTGGCATTAAAAGGAAGGAATATGCGACTGTGATCACCATTAAAATAAAATAAATAAATTTAGATTAATTTTATTACCACTTAATATAGCAAATTGGATAAATGTCTATCCTCTTTATGAGCTCCCCATAATATATATAAGCCACTCCAAACATCAGTAAGGCCACTGCTTGAAACTTAGTTTATAATATATTAATTTTTACTTTATATTTTATTATTATATTTTAACTTTTTAATTTATTGTTTAATGTTTATATTAAATATTTATTTAAAAACAATATAATTATAAAAATCAATTTAATTAAAAAGAGTAGTCTTACTCAAAAATGAAGGCAAATAAAATAATTAATTGTTCATACTTTTTTCTTTTAAATACATGGGAACTAGTTATTTTAAAAACACTAATATTTATAAATAATTATGATCAAAAATGTTCCTATCCAATATTTTGAATACCTGGCCTGAACATTAGGCTTTGTGTTTGTTATGCAAATCCTTAACATAAAAGTATGGCATATGTTCTTTCATTGATTGATTTATTTATATTATTAATCTATATATTTATGCTATATTTTAAGTATTTTAGAGACTTACACAGCATAGACCACAAACTGGGCTTAAATTTTATCTAATAGGCTGGGTACAAATAAAACTATAAAAAATAAGTTTTTAAATTTATGTATGCTTTAGCCAGTTTTGTTAAAAACTTCCTTTCAAAGTAGCCAGCTACTACTAATGCATCTTTTCAAAGTAGCACACCACCATTAATGCTACCTGGCAAAAAAAGGCAGGAATGTAACCCTTCAACAAAAAAAAGGGTCTGGGTTCAGGTACAGGAATAAAATTTAATAAAGAATCCGGGTTCAGGGAACATAAAAAAAAATGACTCGAAATAAGGCTTTTTTCATTCATTTATTATTATACTTCAATATATACACATACATAATTTACAAATAAATACTTTAAAAATGAAATAATTTATATTTAAAATGTTTTATACTATCATATAATCATAATATCTTCTAAAATATCATCCTTGAGATTTCCACATAAATTGGATAATATATATTTCAAAGATGAAAACCCATGTTCTACACTAACCTAAAATAGATAGATATCTTTACTTTACAATACATAAATTATTGTATTGTGTTGTCAGTACAGCCATGACGATTTTAGACAAGATATATAATTCTGGATATATTGAAGAATTTTCTTCCCAGAATTTTAAAATATTTGTATCCTTATTTATACTCTTAACTTCTGAGAAATTTTCTATTAAAGATGTAATAGGCATTTATTGATCCTTTTTTCTATCTGATGATTACTTGATTTTTTTTTCTCTATCTAAAAGTAAATTTCAAGATCATCAATGTTGATACCATTATCATTATTATTGCTACAACCATAGGTATAGTCATAGTTTCCAATATATTCTAAATAATAGAGTTTTGCGTATGCCATAAATCTTTAAGATGGTCTTTAGCCATCTCTTTTTGTCCAATACTCAATAAAATTTGAATTAAAGGGTCTAATTATATAGTAGCATATACAACACTATTTTGCAAATATTGTTGCTCTCGAATTGTCATGTTTTCTTATATTTCATATGGAAAAGGAAGAGTAAATCTTTCTAAATCTAATTTATTTGGCACCAATCATCTTAAATTAAAACATTATTACTTGCATTACTAAATATTTCACTTTGAAAATAATCAATGTATATAGCATAGTAATAAATTTACATAATAATATTATAACCTACACTAGAAAATAATTTATGATATCAATCTCTAAATAAAATAGAAGTTCAAGAAGAAAATTGAAAAAAAAAACGCGAAGATAAAAAAATGATTCCATAAATAAAAGTTAATAAAATAAAAAGATTTTTTATATTATTTAAATAAAAATTTTTTATGACACCTAGAACCCTTGAACCCTCCACTTTTAAATAGATTCAGGTTCAGGTACAGCCAAAATATGAGGGTTCAGGGTCTGGGTTCATATTCCTGAAAAAAAGTAGCACACTATCATTACCATTATTCTATCAAAAGTAGTTTCCCATTCAGCTTACTCCTTTTAAAATTGTTAATTTCTAGAATTATTATGGTAGGTAACGCACTGTTATACTTGGTTCCCGAGATACAGGCAGAGTTGTCAGGTCAAAATTTAGGAGAAATTTGGTATTTTGCAGGTGAAATATGGAAATTATGGTAGAAATATAATAATTACTAAAAAAAATTTTGCTAGATCAAATGAGACAATGTTTTAAATAATATATTTATTATTAAAATAACATCTTTATTATTGAAAAAATACTAGCTAATAACCCGTCAAGAATGATGGGGTTGAGGGGTAATTAGTTAGTTTATATAAATATACTTTATTAATATATTAAAAATATTAAAATTTAGGAGAAAAATGATGAAAATTTGTGAATAGCACACCGATATTTTTAATTTCTGATTCAACTATCATCAAGGGAGAAAAGTATGATGTCTTGATGGGCAAAATGAAAAATATAATAACTAAGAGTACCAGCGTTAGTCAGTATTGCTGACCCTGTCAAAAATGAAGGGAAATGAGAATTTTCTCCTTACTTTTATGATAGTTGTTACCTGTTATTTGAAAATAATATCCAATTTTTATTCTTTATAACCCTCCCCCTTTCAGGCTAGATCCAATCCATTAAACTGTAAATGCTATGTCTTTAGTCAAAAGTTGATACCCATATCAATATTATTTTTTAAAATATTACTTATCATCTATGCCTAATTATTAATATTAAAAAAATTCCCAAGCAAGGTTTAAGGCCATGATAATTTTGAAAAAATTTCCCCATTATAATTTTGTTAGTTGAGAACTGGAATAAAATATTTAAAAAATTATAATGAATTTAAAAATACAATAAAAATCAGATTTTCATGGGCCTTGGTTTCTTGATCAGTCCGAGCCCAGGTTTGCAAAATAATTTGTTTTAGGTTAATGTCTAATACATAATTAATGATAAAAAAATATCCCAAGCTCCACGCTGATAATTATTATTTAACTATATTAATGTATTGCTTTATTATATATATATAGGCGGTTTTATACTTCCTTTATTAGAATATTTCGTATAGTTTATAAATAAAAATATAACGCGTTAAAAACCGATTATAATTTTAGAATAAAAATTATTTGTAAAAAAAAATAATAATAATAATTGAAAACAATAAAAAATAGTTATAAAAAATTAAATTAAAAAAAAATGAATTCAAAAAAAATGAATTAATAATTTACAATTTTCGCTTCCCTAATAAATAATTAAATCCCATCATCATAATGACTTTACAATAATTCACTTTTATAAATCTAAAAATAAAATGTTAACGCGATTAAACTAAAACATAAAATTATAAAAATAACAATGACTCACCAATTTAACTAAAACATAAAATTATAAAAATAAAAATGGCTCATCAAACGCAATACTTACTGACTTTACCAAAAATCAAATTTTACAAATCAGTCTCCCAATTATGACACCTCCCCCCTTTAACCAATCCTTGAGACCCCAATCCCTTTGATCACCCCAAGGAATTCTTCTGTTATTGTTGTAAGTGGACACCTTTGACCATCGATTATTCGAACATATGTCCATAATTATTATTCCTCCATCGTCTTCTTCTAAGAGTAACTACAACCTAAAATCCTTTTAATTTATTTCATTACTACAAAAAAATTTCGGACTCCCACTTTTGCACACACGCTGAAAAGACTCCACCACTCCAATAACACGCTGCAAATACTCATCCACCTCTAACCTTTGATTGTTCTGCTCTAGAGTAACCCCTGTTATTTTTACATCATGGTATAATAAAACACTCCCTCCAATCCCTGAAAAACTGCCTCCCTCGTCCGTTGAAACATAGGTGCCGATACGCCCCAAACGGCAACCTTCTAAAAGCAACTAAGCCCCTTTGGCGTTGTTATAGTCAACAACCTCTGCCTCTCCTGTTTTATCCGTAATTGCAAATACGCGTTCGAAAAATACACTTTCGAAAAATATCTGCTTCCTTTTAAACTGGCCAATATCTCCTCTATCCTGGGTAACGTATACTTCACCTCCACCAAACATGGATTCAACGTTACCCGGAAATCCGCATACAACCTCACACTAACATTGGCCATCTTTACGGATACCAAAGGCGTCGCCCATACGCTGTATTCAACCTGACTCACGATACCCTCCTTTACCCAATGATCCAACTCCTTCTCTACCTCCTGCCTCCATACAAAAGGTACTCTACGAACAGCACAAAATTTTGGTACGCACCTTCCTCCGAATCTCCACTTCATAATCCTTTAGACAACCCAACTCTTCCCCAAAGATTTCTCCATACCTCTCCACTAACTTCTCCACCTCCTTTTGGACATCTTTTACTCCCACAAATTTTCCACAACTCCCTGTTCTACAAAATTCTCACTCCTCTCACTAACCAGCGGCCTCAATACTCCATATCTACTGTCTTGGATATTTGCTATTTCTCCATCTACATAAATCGGACCTCTCGCCAACATATATTCCCTCCTATTTCCTTCGCTTTCCCACCAAAACACGGATCTTCCCTCGTCTACTTCAATATTATCTCGGCCCTCCATCCATTCCAAATTTCCTCCGTACATTCTCTCCTCCTCCTCTCGGACCATATTTATCAAATCTTCCCGAATATCTTCTTCGATCGCCACAAATATTCCCCATCGCGCAAATACTCCCCAAAATGCATACTCCGGCCCCACACTTGTAATCCAATCCCATCCCATCAACGGCTCAACGTCTCGGTTAATTATCCATAAGTCCAACATTTTACATCCTTCTCTCCCTACATCCCCAATATGCACTCTTCCCATCATCTCCGATCCATCAAACTGCCTCACTTGCATAACGTCTCTAATTATTTTACTACCCGGCCAAAGTCTTCTAAAATCCTCATATCCTATCACCGAAATAGCTGCTCCGGTATCAAATAACATAGATACCATCTTCCCGTTGATATCGAACCATACCCTCGGACTCGGCAGATACGATAACTCCCTTTGAACCTCCTGCTGCAACATTTTAACTCTCAACTTTTTTTTGCCTCCTCTTAACGCCACGGTTATCATTTTACTCTCCTTCCCATCATATAGTCAATCTCTATCACAATCTCTGGCCCAATGTCCCCTTTCTCGGCACTTGAAACACGTCATCTCCTCTTCAATATCCTTTCCTTTTTTTCCAGCTATCTCCGTCATACTCCTCATATTCACGGCCCCCGAAGTCTCTCCTCTCTGTGGAAAACCTGCCCTTGTTTCTACCTTTCCCACTCGGCAATCTTTCACATGTCCAAATCTTCCACAACCCGCGCAACGTATTCTCTCTGCTCTGCCTGGACAATATGTCGAAATATGTCCCATCTTCCCACACGCAAAACATTTGACATCTCTACAATTCACCGCAATATGACCCATCTCCCCACATTTATAACATCTACCATTCCGACCTCTCTGTCCCCCACTGTTGAACGGCCTCGGCATGTCCTGACGTCCACGGTAAACGTCCAAATGTCTGTCATCTATCCTCTCGTTCTCTAACCGGTCAATTTCTTCATTATTGACCCAACCCTTCATTATTTCTTGAACCGGTAACCACGTCACTCTCCCCAATCTATCATCCTCTTCATTATTCCCTTCTACCAACAACGATTGCCCACGAATCCTAATACTCCTCTCTCTTCGCATTCTCCTTCCAAAATATAAACTACACAACCATATCACCAGCACTTTATTTCTTGAACCGGTAACCACGTCACTCTCCCCAATCTATCATCCTCTCCATTATGCCCTTTTACCAACAACGATTGCCCACGAATCCTAATACTCCTCTCTCTTCGCATTCTCCTTCCAAAATATAAACTAGACAACCATATCACCAACACTACCATCGCTCCCAGTAATATAAACTACACAACCATATCACCAACACTACCATCGCTCCCAGTACATTAAATTGCAACTCCACATACTTCGTAATTTTAAAACTTTTCCGCGAATTTTTTAACTCTTCCGTGTATCCACGTCTTTTGAAAAAAATCGGCAGCACTTCCGTGTAACTTGCCTTCTAATAAACTTTTTCGCATTTTCTTCTAATAGATTTATATAGGCAAAAATTTGGACAGCATTTCCGTGTACTCTACCTTTTTAGTATCATTATGCCACAAAGATTACTAAGCCACAAAGATCACTAAGCCACAAAGATCACTAAGCCACAAAGATCACTAAGCCACAAAGATCATTAAGCCACAAAGATCACTAAGCCACAAAGATTTTATATACCACTGAGCTTTTTCTTTTTTTTTATATCACTAATCCACACAGATTTTTTTTTTTATATTTTTTTTTTTACAGTTCCCCCCCCCCCTTTTTTTTAGTGTCCCTAACGACCAGGTTCTAGCGATCAGTTCGCTCTGGTCACGGCACCATTATTATTTAACTATATTAATGTATTGCTTTATTATATATATATAGGCGGTTTTATACTTCCTTTATTAGAATATTTCGTATAGTTTAAAATAAAAATATAAGACGTTAAAAACCGATTATAATTTTAGAATAAAAATTATTTGTAAAAAAAAATAATAAAAATGATAATTTTTTCCCCTTTTTGGGTTTATATAATTTTTAAAATTGTTAAAATAAATATATATTTATTAATAATTAGAAAAATATAATATTACTCCTTATAACAATGAATCGATAAAAAAAAATATAATTCATTAGTAATCCTATAAAAAATAATATTTATTAACAATGACTCAACTATTATTATAATAACTTCTGTTACTAAAAAAAACGAAATATATAACAATAATAATTCGAAAACATTTTCCCAAGCCCAGCCCAATATAATTTATAAATTTATTTTCCAACCCCAGCCAGACCCGTAATAATTTTAAAAATTTTTTCTCAAACCTAATAGTGAATACTATTTTTTTGAGTAAAAATATATTTAAATTAGCTTTTACCTGAGACCCATATAAATATTCTATGTTAAATATTATGCCTAATATCTAGTGCTGTAAACGTTACTCAAAAAAGACGCTTTACCGTTACTCGTTACATCTGAAAAAAGAAACGCGTTACCGTTACTCGTTACCTTTTTTAAAAAGGAACCCGCGTTACTGACTATTCAAAAAAGTAACGGGTTACTCGTTACTTAATAAATTAAATATTATATATAAAAATATTATTTTTTCCTACAATATATAATATGAGTAAAATTATACAAAAAGAACATATAATAAGATGATCATTTTATAAAAAAATTATATATATAATTATAATATAAATAAAATTATACAAAAATAATATATAATATAAGATAACATCTTTTTATAACAATTTTTTATTTATTTTTTTGCAAAATCAAAATTTTAATCAGACTAACAAGAACGCTTAGTGCTCAACACAGCTTTCGCCGTGTTAAACACACGTTCAATTGGCGCAGAGGATGGGAGAGTTGTATTATATTTTATAAATAAAATTTTAATTCGGGGAATTTATTAAAAATATTTGAAGAATTATCTTTATTTTGAAAAAAGCTATAAATCTTCACAAGGATCTTCATTCATTTCCTCATCAAATTTTTTTTTTATCTTTATCAGAAAATATTCTGGTATGTGTGTTGGAATAGGAATTACTTCTGCTCTTTCTTTATCAAGATCTTTTCTCAAACTGGAAATAAGTTCTAGCATTCTTCTTTTGTTGACCTTTAATTTTATCCAGGGCTGATTCAATTTAAATGTGGGTGAATTATTGCTGATAGTATTCAACTTTATAGATGTGTTTGAATCTATTGAAAATAAAAGATAATCAAAATATAAATTGTAAGCAATATTTGAACTGTATACCTTTATCTATGATTTCCAGGATTGAATTAATAAGCGGCTTACAAAACTTGAAATTATTTAAAGCCATTTTTTTAAAGTTTTAATATTTTAATAGTTATCGTGGGAGTGTGATATCCCAAATGCATTTTTTCTTTGCTCTCTAAAATTGCAAGAGCCGTAGCAATCGGTTCCATAACCTATAAAATAATATATATACATATCATATTTCTTAATTAACACTAACTATACAATATTCATCCATGAACGACTTGTCGTTAGTTGAATCTCTATAATTAAGATTTATTACAAGATTCGTCAAATTTTTGGCAATTCTCCTTAATAAGACTATTAATTTCACGGAGTTATAAAAAGAGCTCCATCTTATAACCGGTTTAATCAGATATCGTTCCATTTTTTCCTTAAAAATGGCTTCACAGTTTGAAGATTGCCCATGTATATTCCACAATAGCTATAGTTAGAAAATGTAATTTTTTGAAATGGTTTTAAAGTGGACATCGTTAACTGCCTTTTCAATGTCAACACTTACAATGAGATTTAAACTTGTGCTGAATAGGAAAGATGCTTAGGTAGGTATACAATACTTCGTTAGTGATTTTCAAATAGATCAAATAATGGCAAAGGAACCATCATCCGATTCCTCTCCTTGTTCATATACTATAATAAATTTTTAACATTATAATTTTTTTTACTTGAAAACTTTTATATAATTTCTAGCATTGTCGGTAATGCATTTGGTCACTTTATTTTGTATCTAATATGTGGTAAAAATTTTAAAAATTATTTTTGCTAGATAATCAAATGTGTGTTTTTTGGTTTAGTCTTCTCTAAAAATAGAGCACTAGGAGGCTGTATTTTTGCCCAAATATAGGTTGCTTGAACCTTAATTTGTACTTTATTAAAATCTAAAATACTAAAATCATGTTTTTTTTATTAATTTGACATGGGACATTTAACATTCATTTGCTCATATTCTTTCCCTTTAAATCATTTTACAAAATGCAAATAAAATAATTCATTTTTAATGTTGGTTGGATTAGGTTGTAAAATGATTAAAAATCCTACCAGGCTTAAATATAAGTAAAAATCCAGACAACAAATTATTTTAAGAGTTTATTAGTTATAATTCATGAGCTCTTCTTTAAGATGAAATTTATAATTTAGCAAAATGAATGTCAAAATATTAATAGGAAAAAAAATTATTTATATAGAATTATTAACATCTTTAATAATTTTAATTTCACAGTGAGACAATACAAAGCTTGAATCTTGATTTTATGTCAAGTACTAGTGGATATAGCAGTTACAACAAAATGATTCATAATTTACAATTATCCACATCTTATAATTCACTAGTTGATAAAATTATTGAAGGAGTCAAAATGAGTATCAACATAGTGTTAGTCACAATATATTGTCCTGAAAATTTTCGAGCCATAATTGAAGTATTTAAATTATTTACCTTTAATTTTATTTTAAATAATAGTTCATTTTTTATTTGACGAAAATTGTGTTTATACTTTAAATCAAAGGATATAAAATCAAATCAGTTAAAAATATTATTTAAATAATCAAAATTGAATGAAATATTTTGGCCATCAAATCATATCACTTGTTATTTATTGAAACCGATAGTTATTTTAAAGTTAATTAATTGTAAGGTTGGAAATAGTTAATAGTAATTCTAATTTTATATTCTTTTAAAACTATTAATAATTATTCTCAATTGTTAATTAGTTAACATCTGTGGTGGTTCAAAGCACATCGTATAATTGGAAACCCTGTAGTTTAAAAGCATCTAGAATATCCCTCAAAGAATATGGAACTTATATACATTTTAAAGGTATCTTATATTAAAAAATAAATTAGAAGTAAATCATAGCCTAAAATTATATTAATTTTTAGTGACCCGTATTTAAACTGGAAGGGATTTAAAAAATTTCTAAAATAGAAAATTAATATAGGTTGAATTTCACACCACCTAGATTCTTCCTTCAGATTTTTTCAAATTTCTTATATTTATATTTGTAAAGGTATTTGTTTTTTTTAGCAAAAACGAATTAATCCATAGTCATCTTAAAACTAGCCCTCGCTAGACCTGCTATATTCTAAAGTCAGTTATGGGATATTTTAAGATAAAATTATTAAAAAGCAGGAGTACACGGGATACGTTATCACATTTTATATAGCGCGTTTTGTGTAAAATATTTTTAAATTACAAATTTATCTTTATTTGAATAATTCCGAATCAATCAATATTAATACAAGTTAAAAAATCAGATAAAAATTTCTATTTTAGCATCTTATTTAACAGTTCCTTTTATTTATAAAATCTCGAAAACTCCATATCTTTCATGTCAAATTATGTTAATATAATTAATTCGGTTACTAGTAAACCGAGTGACATGGAAGAAAATGTTTTTTCATAATGTAAGTTTATTATCATTGCAAAATTAATTCACACTTTCTATCACATTATCCAAATGGGCATATACATTTAAGATCAAGCTAAAATAATACATCTATCTTCAAAGAATGATAAAATTATTAGTAGATGCCTTATTACTGGCTTTTATTGCGCTTACGAAACATTTATTAAAATTTTTTGTAATATTTGCAATAACATAAATTATATTCATAAAAAACTACTACGTTTTTAATAAATTATAAAATAAAATATTTCTAATCCAATTTTATCTCTCAAATAATACCTAAAATATAAGTGGAATAAAAAAGTTTGATTGACAATAACTTGCAAAATATTTTTCTTATTTCACTTAATTATTATTGCCATTCAGGTGTATATTATTATAAAATTATGATATTTAATTCACAAATTTACAATATGAGATGTTGAGAAAATGCAAGAAAAACAACACAATGATACTTTTTATTAAGTTTTATTTAAATACAAATAAACTAAAAAAATTAAGTGATGGATAAAACTTTATAAAGCTAAAAAATTCTCTATCTCCTCTTTAAAAAAATAGAAAAATCCTATCCGGCAGAAATAAAGGATAAAGGGGACATTGCCAATTATGATACTAAAACAAACATTTCGAGTGTTACTACATGAGAAATTAAAATCTATAAATAAATGGACTAACCTTTTCTTAAAATATTAACCAAGTAAGGAGTATTAACCAAGTAAGGAGTATTAACCAAGTAAGGAGTATTAACCAAGTAAGGAGTAATACTTGCAGTAATTCCTATTTTGCATTACACTTCTACCATATATGCTTAGAATTTTATAAATAATCTTAAAAATTTAGTTCGTATTTGAATGTTATAGCGTTTTCTCATCATTTCAAAAAATTTTACTAAACATTATTTTTTAAGATTTATTAATAAGATATCTTAGAAGAAAATAAATAGTAATGATGGAAAAAATTAAATTTTAGTCTGGTAATTTTAACTTTTATCTGTAATGGGCTAATGAAGGATACTAAGTTTTTAAGTGAAAATTTAAATGCAGGCTTTGCTAGATAATCCATATATGCATAATATATAGAATTTTTCAAGTTAGCATAAAACTAAATGACGCATGAAATTAGCTCAAAAGTTTATATAATTTTTGAAAAATTTTGAAAATTCTTAAAAATAATTGCTATTTTATGATAGTTATGCGGGATTTTAGAATAACTATTTCGTGGGACATTTAGCTGCTTTTTTTTTCACTGAATAAAAAGTTATTTATAGAGACGACGCACCTAAAGCTAGATATATGATAAGTTTAGCTTGCATCCTAAAAAAATTATTTTCTCTTATTCCCATACGTTATTTTTCAATGCACCATGAAAGATTTTATATCAGAATTATTTTAGAATGGCATGCTCAAATTTCTAAAGAAAGAAATTAAAAAACATCAGGTTTTATTTGTTGTAATACAAAACAAATATACTAGTGCTAAAATTGATTAAGCAAGGTAAATTTTACACTATATAATAATATTAAAAATTAATTAATTAAGCTGTAAAAAATAATGATTTAATGTTATAGATTAATTAAATATAAATATAACATTTTAAGAGTTTTTAAAAAACATCAATTTTTGCCACAACTGCTTGCAACACTACACCTGCAAATAACGATAACTATAACGACATTCCGCGATAACTAACTTTGAAATAAATAATGAAAAATTTTTAATGAAGTTCATCAACACGGCAAAGTTAACCTGGGAGAAAGCTGTCTAATTCAACAGAAACCACTAAAATAATAGCCTCTACAAAATTATCCGTAGGATATGGGGTCAAAAACACTTAAACATTGTCAAGGGATAATTATGATAAAAATCAATATCAAAAGTCATTTGTTATTATAAAGAGCTTATCCAAATTTAAATGCCATCTGTTATAATTGCAAAAAAGGTGATATTGAGAGAGTATAGATAACGTGCTAAAAGATAGCTAGCTCCAAAAATAGATGCGAGGACTCGCGAGAATTTTTTTTTAATATGAGGTTACCTGTAATAAATTGCATATAACTTTTCTAATTGACACAGTATCAACCATCTCTATCTTGAATTTAGCATTAGCAGGCGTAAATATAGAAAACGTGTTAAAAGATAGTTTGTTCAAACAATAGATGCGAGGACTCGCGAGCAGTTTTTTAGGTGAGGTTACCCATAAATAAATTGTATATAACTTTTCTAATTGAAACAGGATCAGCCATTTCCATCCTGAATTTAGGATTAGCAGGCGTCAACCGATTGTAAATATCTTAACAATATAATAATTTATAAAAAATATCACATATAATAAAAAGAAATTTATAATTGTGAGAGAGGGAATTAATTTGAAAGATCTATTAAAAATTCTTTTATATAGGTAAATACGTTTGAGGGTCAATGTTGTGCTATTAAAGATTGAAGGGGGGGGGGGTTAATATAAAACAAAAAAAAACTTTTTGAAGGCTTTTAAAACGTTTAAATACCCACCCTTAACTTGCAATGTTTTAAAACTGATATACTTCGTTTGGGAATTCAAATTAGAAACTGAACTGCACCATTAGAATTCATTAAAGTTTAAAAAATTTAAAATTTTCGAAAATCACCTGACTAATTTTACCTGTACCCAAAAAAATGAATATCTGCAAATTTGGTGATTTCCGACAGACAGTCAATGCAAATTTTTATTGATCGATATCCTATACACAAATAGCTCGTTATTATCTTCACGTACATGGTATTAGATCTATCAAAGGCATATATTTAAATAGCTCTAAATGAGGATGCAAAAAGGCTTTTAGTAATCAATACCCCTATCACGATTTCGTTTGGGATAGTTTCGGCCCCAGCTATATTTCACGAGCGATGGACTTATAATATGATAATTACTAAGGAATCATTCGATATTCATATAAGGAATCTTATAACCATTATAAAAACATTAGAAGTAAACGGTTTATATTTTAAATGCAATTTTTTCAAAGAAAAGATTGAATTTCTATCTCATACAATCTGCGAAAAGGGCATCAATAAAACTATAGGAATGCAAATGTCATTTTAGACGGCCGTTACAAAAGAAAGATTAAATCCTTTAGCCATTTCCAAATAGTCGATTTTTTAAATCGAATTCCTTGAATATGTTTCCAGCATTTTTTTTTATTTCATAACAACGGATAGTAGTATAAATTTTTTTGCATTATATAAATTTGCCACTATTCAATCTTTAATAAAAATATTAATTCGACAAATTTTTATATTATTTTTAAAAATTAAAAAAATTGTTGAAAACGCGTCCAGGAAACCTCGTTGACGACTTGTTAAATGGGCATAGATACAGCTAGATGTTATTCAAATATATTTGTTAATTGTGTATTATGATTAATAGATGTAGATTTGTAAAGGATATATAAACTGAGGAAATTAATTACAAAGATATAATAAAATTATTTTTCACGATAGTTCAATGGCGCAGTTTCAAATGGAAAAATTCAATATAAACGAGTGCGAGATAGAAGTTTATTTATTAAAGATGGAATTCATTTTTACCATCCCCAAAATAGGACAAAAAATTGTTTTCATTAGCAAATATTGAACTAGAAGTTTATTCAAAATTATTTACTTTGTGCTTACCGAAGACATTAGCTGAAACATCATACGATGATATAAATAAACTTTTAAAAAAATATTACACAATGAAAACTAATTTTATGCTGGAGAGATATTATTTTTTCAAAACGGAATAAGAAAAAGGAGAAACTATTAAAGAATATATAAATAAATTGAAGGTAAAAGCAAACTCTTGTGATTTTAAAGATAAGGAATTACGAATGGAAAAATATTAATGAAGTTAATAAACACTCCAGACTTGTCATAGGGAAAGGTTGTTTTAATCGCTATATCAATGGAGACGACGGAAATGAGAACGTATACAAAATTATCTGCAGGAAATGAGATAAATAAAATTTCAAAAACAGTGACAAGGAGAAGTATGATAATTATAAACCAGTATCAAAATTTTTTGTTATTGTTGTGGATTAGTAAACAACATAAAATCAAAGTGCCCATATTTAAATGCAATTTGTCATAATTGTGATATAAAAGGACATTTACAGAAAGTATGCAAAAGGAATCATGGTAAGAAAGAATATATTCGAACAATAGATGCCCCAAAAAGGGGCGAGAAAGTTTTGAAGATTGGGATCCAGAGGAGTCGCAGAAAAAATTCGAGGTGAAATTATTGATAGATAAAATATGTATTAATTTTTTAATTGACACAGGATCCGCAGTCTCCATTTTGAATATAACAGACGTTAATCGTAAAAATACCAGTAACAAGAACGGATATTATTTTAAAATCTTATAATAATTTAATGATCGATATTAGAGGTAACTGT